ATACAGGACACATTAACATAAATTTAAAAATATATATTTTCTTTTATAGTGTCTACATTTAGTAGTGTGCTTATGCCTTCCCCAGCACAAGATTATATATGTATTCACCTGTATTTTACTCTCATTCTTTGTTTAACAAACTTTTTAAAAATGTGGAAAAACACATGTACCTAAATTGCATAAAACATAAATTGTACAATTTCAAATATTATAAAGTAAACAGGCAGTGATTACCACCCAGGGAAAGAAATGGAACCTTGCCAACACCCTAGAAGTTCATCATAGTCCCCTGTCTTGTTCTGCATGTTAGCACTATCTTGACTTTTATGGTGATTACTTCTTTGCTCTTCTTTACAGTTTTATAATCTAAATATGCAGTTCTAATCAATATAGTTAATTTTTGTCTGATTTTGATCTTTATATAAAGGGAATCATATAGTTTATATATTTTCTTTTGCATCTTGTTAGCATTATGTTAGCAATGTCATTGTCCCTAACTTAACTTCAGGAAGTTTAGGAACTAGATTGCTATCTAGTATTCCATTCCACATTGTATCGCTATGTGATTTATTTTTTAAAGTTTATTGTTCTGGATATTTAGTTGTTTCTACTTTTGCTGTTATTAGCAGTGCTTCTGGAAACATTTCTGTACATATATCCTGGTGCATATATTCTTTTCTCCTAGGTGTTATTTGATAATGCTCTTCTTCACCTTTACTAAGGAAGGCAAGATTCTCTTCCAAAATAGTTCCAATTTCATGCTCCCATTGGCAGTGTACGAGAGTTCCTATTATTTTTCATCCTTTCCTATAATTGCTATTTTGAGATAGTTTAAATTTTGCCATTCTGTTGCATGAAGGTTATTATCATATTTTCAATTTGCATTTTCCTAAAAACAAATTAATTTGAACACTTTTCATATGCTTATTAGCTGTTTGGAGTTCCTCTTTTGTGAAATGCTAATATGCCTTTTGCCCATTTTTCTTTTGGATATGTATCTTTTTCTTATTGATTTGTGGTAGTTGAAAAAGTTGTGGTAAAATAAACATAGTATAAAATTTACTATTTCAACCATTTTTTAAAAAATTGCTTAGATTTTTAAAAAATTTCAATAGGTTAAGGGGGTACAAGTGGTTTTTAGATACATGGGTGAATTGTATTATGTATCAAATAGTGGTGAAATCAAAGCTTTTAGTGTACCTGTTACCTGAATAGGATACATTGTACCTGATTGGGAATTTTGGTCCTTCACCCTACTCTGCCGTCCCCACTTCTGAGTTTCCAAAGTCCATTATACCACTCTGTATGACCACATATACTCATCGTTCAACTTCCACTTATAAGTGAGTACATGTGGTATTTGTTTTCCTGTTCCTGAGATACTTCACTTAGGATAATGGTTTCCAGTTCCATCTAAGTTACTGCAAAAGACATTACTTCATTTTTTTATGGCTGAGTATAACATTTTCCATGGTATAACATTTTCTTTTTCCACTCATCAGTTGATGGGCACTTAGGTTGATTCCATATCTTTGCAGTTTAAATGGTACCATGATAAACATATGAGTGCATGTGTCTTTTTGATATGATGACTTCTTTTCCTTAGGGTAGATCCCCAGCAGTGGGATTGCTGGATCAAATGGTAGGTCTACTCTTAGTTCTTTGAGGAATCTCCGTACTGTTTTTCATAGAGGTTGTACAAATTTACATTCTCACCAACAGTGAATAAGTGTTTCTTTTTCACCACATCTGCACCAACATCTATTGTTTTTTGACTTTTTAATACTGGCCATTCTGACAGGG